ACAAAGAATTAATGAATCAAAGAGTTGGTTCCTTGAAAAAATAAATAAAATTAATAATCCCTTAGCCAACCTTATCAAGAAAAGGAATGAAAAGACTAATTCATGCATTGAGGAATGATAGGTGTGAAGTTAGTACTGATTCTGTGGAAATTCAGAAGATCATCAATACCTACTTCAAAAATCTTTACTCTCACAGGATGGAAAATACAGAAGAAATGGATAGATTCCTAGATACATATGAATTACCAAAGCTGAATCAAGAAGATATAAAAATTCTGAATAATCCAATATTAGTTAATGAGATTGAAAATATAATTAAAAACTTGCCAACAAAGAGAAGTCCAGGTCCTGATGGATTCACTGTTGAATACTATAAGAAATTTAGAGAAGATCTAATGCCAATACTCTTCAAAATCTTTCATGAAATTGAAAGAGAAGCAATACTGCCTAACTCTTTCCTGGGGGCAAGTATCCTGGTACCAAAAAAGAGAAACAGATACAACCAAAAAAGAGAACTACAGACCAATCTCCCTAATGAACGTAGGGGCAAAAATCCTCAATAAGATACTAGCAAACAGAATTCAACAAGTCATCAGGAAGATTATACACCATGACCAGGTGAGATTTATCCCAGGAATGTAGGGATGGTTCAACATATGCAAATCCATAAATGTAATACACCATATCAACAGAGCCAGAGACAAAAACACATGATCATCTTGATAGTTGCAGAAAAAACTTTTGATAAAGTGCAGCACTCATTCATGATAAAAAACCCTACAGAAAATTGGAGTAGATGGTCTTTATCTCAATCTGATAAAAGCCAACATCCATGACAAAACAATGACCAACATTATGCTAAATGGACAAAAACTGAAAGCTTTCACTAAAATCAGGAAGAAGACAAGGACGTCCACTGTCACCACTCCTTTTCGCATAGTTCTGGAAACATTAACCAGAGCAATTAGACAAGAGATAGAAATAAAGGGAAAAAGGACAGGAAAGGAAAATGTTAAAATATCATTATTTGCAGATGACGTGATACACTACATAGAAAACCCCCAAAAATTCACCAAAAGATTCCTAGAGTTAATAACTCTAGGAGTTGTGTGGCTGAATACAAAGTTAATACTCAAAAATCAATTGTGTTCTTGTACATAAATAACAAAATTATTGAGAGAGAAATTAGGGAAACCACATTCTTCACAATAGCATCCACAAAATGAAATACTTAGAAATCAATCTAACAAAGGAAGTAAAAGATCTATACATTGAAAATTATACTCCTCTGAAAAAAGGAGATGGAAGAGGCTATCAGAAAATGGAAAGATATCCCTTGCTCATGGATAGGAAGAACCAACATAGTGAAAATTGTCATACTTCCAAAATTGTTACATAGATTTAATGCAGTCCCAATCAAAATACCATTAGCATACCTCACAGAATTAGAGAAAATACTCCTAAAATTCATCTGGAACCAGAAGAGATCTGGAATAGCAAAGGCAATTCTGGGCAACAAAGATAAGTCAGGAGAAATCACAATCTTTGACCTGAAATTATACTATGAAGCTACTGTGATAAAATCAGCATGGTATTGCAAAAAAAAAAAAAAAAAAAAAAAGAGCTGAAGACTAGTGGAACAGATTAGAAGATGCAGACACAATTACAAACACACTCAGCCACCTTATCTTTGACAAAGGGACCAAACATGTTCGCTGGAAGAAAGATAGCCTCTTTAATAAATGGTGCTGGGAAAACTGGCTCTGTATATGCCAAAGACTAAAACTAGACCCATGTCTATTACCATGCACTAAACTAAAGTCAAAATGGATCAAAGATTTAAATATTAAAGCAGAAATACTAGATCTACTGGAAGAGAAAGTAAGCGAAAATCTTGAAGACATAGGGGTAGGCACAGTCTTCATGAACAAATCCATACAGCACAAAAAACACTTCAAAGGATCAACAACTGGGATCTCAGCCTATTAAAAACCTTTTGTACTTCAAAAGAAATCACCAATAGAGTGAAAAGACAAGCCACAGAGTGGGAAAACATTTTAGCTAACTATCCCTCAGACAAAGGTCTTATATTTAGAACATACAAAGAATTGAAAAATTCAGACCCCCCAAATTTAAAGACCCAATCCAAATTGAACACCTGAGATGAATACTCACTTCTCAGATGAAGAAATACAAATGGCAAATAAATACATGAAAAAATGTTCAACATCATTGATCATTCAAGCCATGCTAATTAAAACAACACTGAGATTCCATTTCACCCCAGTAAGAATGGCTATCACCAAGAAATCAACCAACAATAAATGCTGGAAGGGCTGTGGGGAAAAAGGAACTTTTCTCTGCTGTTGGTGGGAGAGTAGCTGGTACAACCACTTTGGAAATCAGTCTGGAGGTTCCTCAAAAAGTTAGGATTAAAAGCCCCATTTAACCCAGCTATTCCCCTTCTGGGTATTTTCCCAGAAAAATTAAAAACATTACACCATACTGATATATGTGCACCCATGTTTATAGCAGCACAATTTATCATAGCAAAATCTTGGAAAAAACCTAAATGCCCATCAACTGAGGAGTAGATAAGAAAAATGTGGTATTTTTACACAATGGAATATTAATCAGCCATAAAGAAAGATAAACTTGAGGCTTTTATAGGTAAATGGATGCAACTAGAGACCATACTCATAAGTGAAATAAATCAAACCCATATGTGTAAACACCATATTGTCTCCCTATTGTAAGAACTTGAAAGAATAAATAAAACTGACAGGTACAATAGATATTATGAAAGAGAAAGAAACTGCTTAATAGGAAAGAACAACTGGGATGAGGGAAAGAAGAAAAGAAAGACAGAAAGAAGGGAAATTATATATATATATATATATATATATATATATATACACACACACACACACACACACACAAAGAGTTAAGATAATTGTACTACTAATTTCTATTGGTTTATTAAAAGGAACAGTTAATGTTTAATTGTTTGATCCACCTTGCACACATATATCTGGTAATCTGAGCAACTACTTTGAAGATAACAATAAGTAATACAACAACAATTGTTGATTTTCTATCATCTTGTTTTGAAATTCTGTGTAGTTTTCATAGTTTTGTTTTTGTTATTTTGTTTTTGTTCTTTTCTCTTTAAAATAAGAAAAAAAGAAAATAACATAATTTATAAAAATAAACAGTTACCAGGCCAGGCATGGTGGCACATGCCTGTAATCCCAGCACTCTGAAGGCTGAGGCAGGAGGATTGTTGTGAGTTTGAGGCCAGCCTGGGCTACAAAGTGAGCTCAAGGCCAGCCTGAACTACATAGCAAGACCCTGTCTCAAAAAGACAAAAAAAGAAAAAAAAAAAAACACTTATCTTCACTAATGCCAAGAAATGAGAAACAACTTTCCTCAAGTATACAGTTTTGACAAGAAAGATGGTAGAATAAGAATTAATCTTTGCCAGTTGAAATGTTTTCTTCTTTCAGCTTTTAAATTATGTCATTATGTACTTCTGTAAAATAAAACCTTATTTGAAGTAGGTCTAGTCGCAGAAAATGAGAGAGGTGCATGCAAATTGAATTTTACTGGGTACAGTTATTACTGGGTGTAAGAATAGCAATAAATTCCCAGGCATAAGTGTTATGCCTACATATGTGTGATTGTGAAATAGAAAATATTTAAATATTGTATTGGATAAACTTCCTTAAAAAGGGAGAAGGTTTATAAGAATGGTTGACAGCCCATACCTGTGATATGTATTTCTGCAAGAATAGTCCTGCTAGTGAAAAATACTGTTTCAGATCTCAGGGGAAGCCATTCAAAATTCGTGAGCCTTTGATGGAGAAAGAAGTGAGAACCCCGCTGAACAGGCAATTTGGTGAGGATATAAAACAACACAGGCAGCTCTGCTACCACAGGAACCTCTGAGATGAGCCCTGGCTTTGATGCCTCCAGCTCAGTGGGTAGAAAAAGGATTTGTCTTAAATGATCACCTTCAGCTTCAGCCATCTTATTTCTGTAAAAGCCCCACCACCAACATCAAAGGTTCTAGTTTAATTCCCAGTTCCCACCCCCGCTGTGGGGTTAGATCTTCATGTTTACCTTTCTGGAATGTATGGTTGTAAATTCCATGCCCTTCCTGGACTCCCAAAATGTATTGTTCTTCCCCTAAATGCTCTACCCCTCCCAGGTTCTCGGAATGTACTGTTCCTGAAATAAAACATCCCCTCATTGTTACAGATGTGACATGTGTATGCCAAACAGGATGTGGTTTTAGGGTTTAAAAACTGCTCTCATCCCTGGATCTGGACTGGTCTGATCCTTCCTTGTGTGGAAGTTCTCAGTCAGTCCCTGGCCAGGAATAAAGGCTCACCCTAAATTCCAATTGGCAGTCCCTGCGTCTTGGTGTTCATCGGTCAGTACCATTTGGTTCGTTTCTGGTTGTGAGACCAGAACATTTTGGAGGTCCCACTGAGATCCCCTATAGGAAGTGCCACCGAGCCAGATCACTTTACCCCTGGCAGCCACCTGTCAGGGGCCTCCCCGAGATGTGCCTCCGCCTCGATGGGCTCCCCTGCCTAGGGTGAAGACTAAATTCTTTCTATTCCACTCGGAGCTGTTTGTCTTCTTACTAGTAAGAGTTTGTTTATTTGTTTCTGGAGCTCCCCGTTTGGATCTCTCGGGTGGCAGACGTGCCTTTAAGTGCCGGAGAGACTTTGGTTTGGTTTTGGTTTGTTTTGCTGTTGTCTTTCCGTTGTCTGTTCTTGTTTTGTTTGTCTAAATGGGTCAGTCTGCTTCTATGTCACTTATGCCGCTTCAATGTGTACTAAATCACTTTTCTGATTTCAAACAGAGAGCCACCAGCTATGGTGAGCTGGTTTTTCCCTGCAAACTGTGAACGTTTGGTGAACTTGAGTGGCCCAAATTCAAGGTTAATTGGCCCCCTGGAAGGGAGTTTTAACATTGCTGTTTGCCAACAGGTCCACCAAGTCATATTTGGCAATCCAGGACACCCTGACCAGGTTATCTACATCCAAGTGTGGATCGATCTCGTCACAGACTCCCCTAAGTGGGTCAAAAAGCATTTTCCTCACCATAAGGTTCTTCTTTCTCAGCCCTGCTGGACTCCCAAGCTGGCTTCCCCTCCTCCGGTCCTCCAGGAAACCCCTGATCCCCCTGACTCTCCTACCCTCTACCCTCGGCTTCTCCCACCTTACCCTACCCCTGACTTGTAGTGATCTTCTGGTCCCCCTGCCCTTACCAGCCCTTCGCGTACGCGGAGCGGCTGACCTTTTTGGGAGACACCCTTTGCCTCCAGTCCACTCCCCGACTCCTCTAACCCTTCTCCACCTCCCTCTGCTTGCCTGGATCTCCTCCCCCTTTGCAAGGTGCCCTGGGCCAACTAGGAGGAAGGCCCGTTCCTAGTTCATGTTCTATTCTCTAGCAATGACTTGTTTAATTGGAAGCATCAATATCTGCCTTTCTCAAAGGATCCCCAAGCTTTGATATCTCTCATTGAGACAATATTTGCCACCCATGCCTCCATGGGAGACTGCAAACAGCTTTTACAGGTCCTATTCACTTCAGAGGAATGGGAATGCATCTGCTCCCATGGGCAAAAAGTGGTTCTTGGACTGGATGGCCAACCTGCCACTGATCCTAGACTAATAGAGCAGCGTTTCCCATCCGCCCACTCAGACTGGAACCCCAACGGATATGCAGGTAAGGAGGCTCTCAATCAGTATCACCAGACTCTTGGTGCCATTAAGGCCGCAGCCTGCAAGCCAACTAATTTTTTTTTTTTTTTTAAGCCAACTAATTTGTCCAAGGTAACTGAAGTTAGTCCGGGGCCTAATGAGTCTCCGGCAGTGTTCCTTGAGCGCCTCGAAGAGGCTTATTGTATATACACTCCAATTGATCCGGAGGCACTAGAAAACAGGTGAGCTCTTAACATAGTGTTCGTCATCCAGTCAGCCCCAGACATGAGGAGGAAGTTACAAAAGTTAGAGGGTTTTGAGGGAAAGGCACTCTCAGAACTGGTAGAGGTGGCTCAAAAGGTCTTTAACAACTGGGATGATCCCCAGGAGATAAACAAGAGGATGGTAAAAGTTCTGTTGGCTATGGGAGAAAAGCCCCAAAAAGGGATAAACAAGCCCACGACTGGGACCCTCTAGAGATAAAAGACTTCCCTTGGGGAAAAAATCAAGCGACTATTGCAAGGAAGAGGATCACTGGAAAAAGGACTGTCCAAAGCTCAAAGGAAAAGGTCCCACAGTCTTGAGCACACAAGAAACAGATTGAAAAAGTCAGGGCTCCCCTGGCTCCTAGGAGCCCTGGGTAACCCTTATCATGGGGGGCCAAGAGGTCCAATTCATTGTGGGCATGGGTGCCACCTTTTCTCTTCTTCAGTGGCCTGTTGGACCTCTCTCTTCTATAAAAACTAACATTCAGGGGGCAACTGGCAAAACTAAGGCCTACCCCTGGTCACAGGCGACCATAATGGACCTGGGAAAACAAACTTTGATGCACTCCTTTTTGGTCATGCCCGAGTGTCTCTACCCGCTGCTTGGGAGAGACCTTTTACATAAGTTACAGGCCCAGATCTCTTTTGCAGGCGAAGGCCCAACTGTGACTTTTTCCAACAGGATTCAGCCCCTTGCTATCTTGTTTACTTGTCCTCTCATGGAGGGACATATACTTACCACAGAACCCCTGGGGGCCCCAGAACAAATGTCTAAGCTTCTAGAAATATGGAAATTACAAATACCTGAAGTTTGGGCAGAGGACAATCCTCCTGGCTTGGCTTCCCATCAACCCCCAATTGTGGTAGCCCTAACTCCCACTGCTGTGCCTGTGTGAGTCCAACAGTACCCACTGAGTCAACAAGCTCGGGAAGGCATAGCTAAACACATCTCAAGACTAAGGCTCTCTGGGATCCTGGTCACCTGCAAGTCCCTCTGGAACACCCTGCTGCTCCCGGTCCAGAAGCCCAGCACCAATGACTACCGGCCTGTCCAGGATCTCTGAGAGGTAAACAGATGGGTGGAAACTCTTCACCCCACTGTACCTAACCCATACACCCTCCTTAGCCTTCTCCCTCCCAATAGGACTGTGTATTCTGTCTTGGATTTAAAAGATGCCTTCTTTAGTCTTCCTTTGGCACCAGTCAGTCAACCCATTTTCGCTTTCGAATGGATTGACCCGTTAACTGGGGAGTCAGGACAATTAACCTGGATGCTGCTCCCCCAAGGATTTAAGAATGCCCCTACCCTGTTTGATGAGGCTCTAAGCAGAGACCTTCAGGATTATTATGCCTCCCACCCCATGGGTGACTTTCCTCCAATATGTAGATGATGTTTTGTTAGCGGCAGATACTCAAGAAACATGCCAGGAGGCATTTGATGGGAAAATGAATTCTTTTATTTTTTTATAAGCAAATATCTTTCAAATGTCTAATCAGTGCTGTATTCAGGAGGTAAGATGAGAAAAAGTGGATTTTACCAGTATAAAAAAGGAACAATGATATCACTAGCTACGTAATTTATGAAGCAGACTGAACCCAAATAGAAGTTTGGAAAGACAAATTCTGAACATTTAATTGTACCACACTGTATGGGATAGGAAGAATCTGATTAATTTAAAACCGAGATGAGAAACACCAAGATTAATGCAGCAGAAGCACATAAAAATGTCTATAATATTCCTATTTAATAGTCTATCTTGACAGTTTAAATGTTAGAACAAACAGAAAGTTTACTTTATGTGGGAGAATGTTTTCTGATCCTATTTTCTAAGCAAAAACAAGAAAGTAATGATAGAAACATGAAACAGAAGGAAATGATGAAAAACAACTGGTATAGTAGAAGTGTTCTTATGTTATAAAGTGTCTTCAGACATAACAGAGTTTCAAGCTGATTAGGTGAGCAGAGACAGGCTCTTAGTTTATTATCTAAGATGATAAAAATGGTGGCAGGGGGAGAAGGACCTCCTAGAGGGCGAAATTCCCCTAGGAGATCCTAAAGGAGTTATCTTAGCTGTTTGGGTGTCTTGTTTTTCCAAACAATATATTCTTCCCCTGAGAGAAAATAGTCATTGGAGAACACAAGGATAATAATATAATTAGCACCATTGGCCTGTGCTATAATAAATAGGAACATTCTGGAGCAGGATTTTTGCCTTTATTCTTTCCTTAACAGTTCTGTGATGGCAGAACGTACTCAGAGGAGAGGGTCTGAGAGCCCAGAAAAAAGAAAAATCAGTGCTACTAATCTGAGTACTCACCTGACGTAAATGGCTAGTCATAAAGAAAAGCTTTTTAAATGCTATTTTTATTGTGTTTTTCTTCAACTTGTTAGTTAAAAGTCCAGATGTGTCTTAACAGTATTTATAGACTAAAGAATAATATGTTGAAAAATTTTCCATTTTTCCATTCTTATTAAAGTATAAAATGTTTGCATTCTTATTAGTTTTTACATTTTTCATCATTGAAATGGTCTAAATCCATGAAAAATAATGTCTTGTGTGCTTTACGAAGCACTAGCAAGTGGGCAGCATTGCTATGATATAGAATACAGAAAAAGGTGTTGCTAGTTTGGGTAATTTATGCCCTGTCTATAGCCAGGGGCGGGAGGATGGGGCAGGAGCTGTGGACACGAGCTTCACTGCTACAAGACAACGGCTAACTTACTCTAACTGTAGAATAGGGCTGGGTTGGGCTTTATCACCCAAATGTATTTTTAGAAGTGTTGATTTTGTTTTTCTTTGCTTGATGGGGTATGATCTTCCCATTGAAAACTGCAGGAAAGTCTGTCCGACACTCAAAAATCCTATCTTGTTTTTAGTGAACTTGGGAAACAGGGAGGCAAACAAAAGGAGGCTTAACTTTGTAGAACGCTTTGGCTTTCTGCATTTGCAAGGGAAAGCACAAAGCTTGCTCCTCAGGCATCAGACACTCACAAGAACACAAGTTATGACGAGCAGCGGAAAGTGTACTTGATGTGAACCTTGTGGTGTTTCCCCCCGCCACAGTCTTCTGAGTGGAGATGGTGTCGTAACAGCTTTCCAGGAAAAATTCACCTAGAAAAGGCATGTGGCAGGGTTCTGCCTACGCAAGGCCTTGGGGCAGGGAAGATTTGAAGGCATGACTGAGGCAGTGAGTATCCTGGGTGGGGATGCGTGGACAGCTGAGTAATTCTTAACCAGTGGACATTCTTGCACCACGGTGTGAGTGGAGATGAAAAACGGGACCATCTGCTTAATAGTCAGGGCATCAGGAGAACGAAGGGCGTGCAGGCATCTAGTAATAATTCAGTTAAAATGATGGGACCCGGTGAAGTCCCAGGAGAAATGAATATTCCACTTGTTTCTAACACATTTAATTTGTCTTTCAGCTACTACACAAAGATAATCATTTCACACAATAGAACATTCAGTTTCAGTCTCTGATTAGGCCACGCCGCTGGATCCCCTGCCCTCCTAGGGTTAGCAAGAATCAGTCATAGCAGTAATTTCCGATGAAAAAGAAATCCTAGCAGGCTCATGTCTGGGTCAGTGGAGCTGATGGATTGCTTCTTTTTTTATGGAGCCAAATCATTTTTTGTAGGAATCAGTTTTCAAGTGTATAAATTTCAGTTTGGAAATTATTTCTCGCAATATTGCTTTCAGTCATTCTTTTTAAAAACATTAATTAGCCGAGTAAATGCACCAAGGGACAAAAAGTGTTTCTGCAAAATAATACCATAATTTGTATTGAAAATGTGATTGAATACTGGGAAGAAATAAAAGAAACAAAAAGATCACAAAGTTATAGCTATTCAACTTAGGGGATAAAAAATATACTTTCTTGTTTGATCTAATATATCTAATTTTTCACCCACTTTCCCTTTCTGTTCCTCTATCCTTTCTCAATTTAGACAGTGTCTCCTCTGTTTATTTGTCACAAAGATTTCAGTTGTGTCTCACAGTTCAGAGTCAATGCCGACAGCCTAAGAAAAAAACTTTCAGTTGCTGAGAAAAATGTCAACTTTAACAAAAAGTAGGACTTTCCCTATCATTATGGCTTTGATCAACATTAAGGGCCCAGTTAAGCCTCTTCCTTATAGGCCAACAGATTTCTATTTCTGTTGTATTTATACTTTGGTTATTTATCCTTCTATCATTTACTTGTAAGACTAAAAATTCTGTTAGATAAGTATAAGGGGCATGTCAAGATAAAGAGAAATATAATGTAAACCAACTTAGCTAGGTTATGAAAAATTGTCTTTATAATGAAGGAAAATTTACTAATACTTTGTATCAGAAGTGCAGTTTATGTCAATGAATAATGAGACATATTCTTGAGTTGTTATAGTAACAGGTTCACAGTATGCAAATATGTTAGTTAATGCATTTAATAGTAAGGTGCACTGGTAATGCTGAAAATAGAAGATCTACGAGGAAACACTGCAGTTGGAATGCTATGATTTAAGTTTGGACCCTGATTTGTCACTTAATGCCAGTAAGGTGCTGTTGGAGCAAGGTGTCTGACTCCATTTTGGTGGGTGCAGTAATTTATACCTTTAGGATTCTGTGTGTATTAATACCATTACGGATTATAAACAAGTGATAGTTGAAGTTATGCCTAGGCACCCACACATTTAAACAACAACAACAAAAACATTTCCCAAGTCAAATAAGAACCCATTAGGATTGTGAGTGTTCTTCAGTGTTGAAATGAAATATCAGGGTGAAAAGGCAAAGTTTTAAGGTGTAGCTCTTGGAGATGTTTTTCTAAATTCAGTGGCAATGACATATGTGATAATAATATGGGAATACTGAAAAATTATTAAGAGCTAATATTATTCCCACTTAAAATCATTGCCTCTGCTTATTGGAAGGAAAAAAACTGTTTTCCTCAAACATCTACAACAAAGCTGTCCAGAAACAGCTGACCTGAACTGACCTTTTATTGGTTTCCTCTTGTAGGAATTATATTTAAAGCTCTTTACAGAAGGATTACATTGTTTTATGTAAGCATTTTCATATGTCCAGTGTTTGTACCAGACTATGGGTTGCATTCTCTATAGATGATTGTATTCTCTGTGGAAGGAAGAGAGGAAGGAAAAGAGGAAGGAAGGAAAGGGAGGAAGATGGCTCTGCCTTACTAATTCAGTAAATGTTCACCAACATCTCTTTAAGCGTCAGCTTTTGGGTACATAAAATTACAAGAAGAAATGACTTTGAGTTCAGAGTCTCTACCAGATTATGTACAAATAAATTAAGACATAGGTGGTTCAAGTACTGGCAAAGAAAAATAGAGTATGTTTGGAGGTAACAATTGAAGACAGTTATGTTCCAAATTTATTTCACCATCTTTCCCTTAAAGTCTCTTTATGTGTGTTTTCTTAATTCTGGCACTGCCACATGCTAGGTCAAGCAAAAATCTTGATAAAAAACTGTGCTCATTCTCATTCAACATCTGACAAATCAGCAAGTCACATATATAGATATAGATATAGAGATATAGATATATAGATATAGATATATAGATACTCATGGGACATCCAGGAGATATATAGTGGCATATATATAATGGAATATATGTAGTGGAATATATAGAATGGAATATATTCCACTATGTATCTCCTGGATGTCCCATGAGTATCTCAAGTTCAAGTTGGATATGTGAACATACAGCTGCATGGTTAGAACCAGAAACCCAGCATAAACCATGTGCATAACTAAAAGTTTCTACTAGGAACATTTGTGTACTACTTTTGGGACAGACATACTTCTATTTCTCTGGAATAAACACTCAGGAGCACAGTTCCTGGGCCACATGGCAATCATATACTTGGTTGTTAAAGAAACTGCCACCTATTTTCTACTCACTAGGCCTCTTGTCTTGCCACCAGCCATGTGCGAGTGTTTCAGCAGGTCAACATCTTTGGGAACCCTGGGTATGGGCTGTGCTTGTTTCTCCCAGCCTTTACGAGTGTACTTAACGGTATCTCTTTGTGGATTTAACGTGCATATTCTTAATGGTTAGTGATGTTGAATATTATTCATATACTTATTGGCCATCACACATCTGCTTTGGTATGATTGTGGTTAATTTTTAAGCCCACTTTTGAGTGAGGTTATGTTTCTGAGTTTTGAGATTTCTTTTTTTATTTTTTTTTATTTTAAAGAGTAAAAGAAGGATAACATAATAATGGGGGGGCTTACCAAATTACAGACAAAATGGTAGGAAATTATCAATGGTTATTGTTTTACATATTGTTATCTACAAGATAGTTTCTCAGGAAAACAAATAGACAAATAATAGTGAGTTACAGACAAAAGAGGTAGGAGATTATCAATAGTTGTTTTACTATACTTTGGTATCTTCAAAGTGGCTTCTTAAGAAAATAAATAGAGCTATACATGAATGACCTATTGAATAATCATTAACTTTCCTCAGTGGTTGTTATAGGAAACACATAATGATAGACATGCATCCATTTATGAAATAGGATAGGAACAATACAAACACTGCAGAGTTATGGATAGATTAGTAGGAAAATATCAACGGCTGCTGTAATACATGGTGGTATCTTCAAAGTGGTTTCTCAGGAAGACAGAGATACCCAAGAAGGATCTAACAAGTAGTTACAGCCTAAGGGTTGTCAAAAATCAAGTGAGCCGCCTGGGGCGAAAGCCATTTTTTGTAGTGTTTTCTCTCCAGCCTCCCATCGTATTGGGACCCCACAACCAGTTAGTGTCCTCTCCCCAACTGTCAACACAGGCAGCAGGAATCCTGCTGCAGACTTCTCTGGAGCTCCACCACAGCCTGTACTGTCAGGGGAAGAATGGCTTCCAGGGAGTCTCTACAGGTATTGTGCAAGGCCCTCCTGATTTACAGCTTCCGAGTGGCTCTCATGACCCCAGTCCACAGGACCTCTGACTCCTTGGGCTTAGTCTGTATTCTCATGTTCTCTGAGTCCTTGTTCAGCAGCTGCTCCCCCGCTGAATCTGGACCTTTCTGGTTCTCAATGGCAGGAGCAAGAGTGGCCTGTTGTATGACACGTATTCCCAGGGGTTTCTCCATGTTTGAATGGTTCACACACATCCATGCGTGGGCATCTGCAGCTGGTGAATGGTGGGCCAACTGTGTCAATGTTTCTCTGTGTCATGGTAGTTCTCAATTGAGTGGCAGTGGCTGGCCTGAGGGTCAGCGCACAACAGTGCTCGCTGCAGCATGGCTCCCCCTGTGCCAAGGGCCCTCCCTCTGGGCACCTACGAGGCAGGGAGTGAGCCGGTCGGAACACCAGCGCTCCCTGCCCATGGCTCCCCGTGTGTGGGGGCCCTCCTTCTGGGTGCCTACGAGGCAGGAAGCAAGGCAGCCGGAAGACTGGCACTCCCTGCCCGTGGCTCCGTGTGCTGAGATTTCTTTATAAATTCTGCATAAAGTCCTGGGTTGAGTAGGGGATTTGCAAATGTTTTCCCCAGTCTGGATCTTATCTTCCATTCTCTTTATACTGTCCTTCACAGAGCCCAGAATTTACATTTTGATCAAGTCTTTCAATTTGTTCTTTACTGAATTATACTTTTGGTGTAATGCCTACTGCTGCAGCTTATTACCTAATCTCAGGTCAGGAATATTTTTCTCCTGTTTCTTCTAAAACATTTGCAGTTTTATGTTTTACGTTTAGATTTATGACCCATTTTTAGTTAATTTTTGTATGAGGTATGAAGCTTAAATTGAAATTAATTTTTCTACATATGGGTAGTCAACAGTTTCAAGAACACTTAAAATACAATCTTTATTGAATTGCCTTTGTACTTTTATAGAAAGAAACAGTTGGCAATATTTTATGTGAATCTCTTTCTGGACTCTATTTTTGCAATGGTTTATGTGTCCATCCCTTCATTAATAATGCCTTGCCTCAGATAAATATAGCTTTATCTTCAGTCTTAAAATAGGGTAGAATGAATCTTCCAACTATACTCTTTACTGTCAGAATTATTTGGACTCTTCTTACTTTCTTTTTCAGAGAAATTTGAGAATTGGTTTTATATATATTCTTTATAAAATGCCTGATAGGATTTTTACTGGAATTCTGTTAATCGTATAGGTCAATTTAGAGAACAATTTAACGGACATCTTATGCAGTATGTATTGACTCTTCTTTGGATAATAATGCCATTTGACTTGTTTAGGCTTCTAAACTATTTTTCTTCTCCAGCAGCATTTTATGGTTTTCAGCACATAGACCCTGTACACACTCCTTTTTGGAGAGGGTAACACAGGGTCTTACTGTGGCATCCAGGCTAGCATTGAACTCACTATGTAACTCTCTGGTTTTGAATCCATAATCCTCCTGCCTAAGCCCTCTAAGTGTGGAATTTCAGGAATCTGCTACCATGCTTGGCTCTGCACATGCTCTTTATATTTGAGATGTCTTCGCCATTGAAACTATAAGGAATGGCTGTTCTACAAATTTTTTAGTAGAAATAAGATTGATTTACTTTTATTTTGATAGGATTGTTCACATGCAATTGTAAGCAATAATACAAAAAGTCTCCATGTACCTGGGCTAGTTGTTCTATTTATGAATATACCACCTTTGGTTCCACTCAGGTGGGAACAATTGGGCCACTTCCCCCCTTTCTACTTCAATAACGTTGCTGTGAAGAGCTGTGCACAGTTTTTGTGGGACATATGTTATTTCTCTTGGTAATATATTTGGGAATGAAATGGCTGGTTCATATGGAGTATTATCTTTGCTTTTTGAACAGTCACTGAACTTTTTTTCCACAATGACTAAAACATTTTACATTCCTACCAGCAAAGCGTGAAGGGTCCACATTTCTGCATCCATTCAGCAATAATGAATATTTTATGCCTTTTGGATTTCATTCACCTTAGAATCTCAAGTTGTATTTCATTATGGTTTTGATTTACATTTCCCTATGACTAACAGTGTTTTTGTTTTTGAGACTGGGCCCTGCTATCTAATGCAGGCTAGCTTCAAGGTCAAGATCCTTCTGCCTCAGCCTCCCCAGTGTTGGCTGGAATGATGAGCATGCACCACCATGCCTAGCCTGGCGTATAATCCTTTTATTAAACTGCAGGATTTGGTTTGCTAGTGTTTGGTTGAGGTTTTGTGGATCCATATTTAGAAGTGATTGGAGTTTTCTTGTGATGTCTTTATTTGGCTTTGGTATCAGGGTAGTACTAGCCTCATCTGATGAATTAGAAGGTATTTCTTCCTCTACTACTTTTTTGACAAAGGACTGATGTTATTTTATATTATGTTTGGTGGAATTTGCCAGTAAAGCATTGTTTCTTGGCTTTTCTTTATTGGAGTATTTTAATTGCTGATTTAATCTCTTGTTACTTTTATTGTCTCTTTGAGACATAGTTTTGCTATGTAGTTCAGGCTGGACTTCAACTCACTTTGTAGCCCAGACTTGCCTCAAACTCATAGTGATCCTCCTGCTTCAGCCTCCCAAGTACTGGGGTTACAGGCATGAGCTATCACACCCAGTAAGCTCTTGATATAGGCCTATGCATATTGTCTATTTTTTTCTTGAGTTAGTATTGGTAGTTTGTATGTTTCTAAAGGATTTATTAAAGGAATCTGGTTATCTAACTTACTGACATGCAATTGCTCATAATATTTCTTTTCAATCTTTTCACTTTTATACAGTTAGTAGTAATATCCCCATGTTGATTTCTAATTTTAAGTCATATTCTTTTCTTTTTTTTAACAGTCCATTTGAAAGTTTGTTAATTTTTTGAGTCAGTCAAAGAATCAACTTTTATTTCATTTATTTTCTATATATACTTTTCCATTTCTTCATCAGAGAGGTTACTACATAGTCTTCTTTTCTTATAATGTCTTTGTTTGGGCCTGATATCAGGGCAATTGTTGGTTCACTAAATCAGCTGGGAAATGCCCCTTCCTTTCCTATTTTCAGGAAGAGTATGAGCACGGGTAGATGTTTTGCTGTTGTGTTTCATTTCTCAAAGCCCTTGGTCTTCTGTTCAGGGTCATATCCACACGTGTGCAGCTCAAGGTCCAACACAGGAGCTCACGCACATCTATTGGACTAGTTTCTTATTCTCCGTCCTCTTCAGTCTCCTCGGTGCACTGATTCTTGTGGTTCCTCATATTTGGTCATTGTGTTAGTTACTGCTCTGTCACTATAATAAAACAGATGAGGTAGCAAACCTTTATAAAGGAAAGGATTATTTTTGCTCCAAGTTTTGGAGGTTCTAGTCTATGGTTGGTTGGTCCCTTGGCTTTGGGCCTGTGGTGAGGCAGCATGTTGTAGTAGGTGTGTGTGGCAGAGAAGGACCACTCACTGCATCAGCCAGAAAGAAGAAAGGAAAGAAGGGAGGAAGGAAGGAAGGAGGGAGGGAAGGAGAAGACAAAAGGACCAGTTGTCACCCCCTAGTCCTCATGGAGGGCATGTCCTGTGGCCTAAGGACTTCCTGTGAGCCCTCACCTTCACAGTGTCCCACTGCTTCTCAACAGCTTCGCTCTGGGGACCCAGCCTTGAACAGATGGGCCTGGGGTGGACACATCCAGGCCACAGCAGTTATCTTGCTAGAATGCTGGGTTTCAGCTACAGGCTCTGCTGTGAATTTGTTAATAACTGTGTTTTCCTACAAAGCCAAAGTAGAAAATGGGATAAAAATACCAGGAGTGATGCCCTTTGATTTCCTTGGACTAGAAATCTGGGAGACTCATTTAGAACTCTTTCTGTTGCCTGCAGCACACCTCTGGGATTCTGGCTGCAATCCCAGGACAAGAGACACCAATGGGAGAAAGAAATGACGCTGGGCATGGTGTTGCCAACCTGTACTTCCAGCACTCTTGGAGCCTGAGGTATGAAGATCATAAGTTCAAGCCCACTTTGGACAATTTAACAACTTAGCAAGAACCTATCTCAAAAAAAAAAAAAAAAAAAAAAAAAAAAAAAAGACAAACTCAAATCTGACTCTGTGGATTAGTGGACTTTGATTTCTGGATTCTTTAGTTACTCTATACACGTGTTTTTAAATTGCATTTACTGAGTGGAACATGGTAGAGCGAGTTATTCCATCTTGAAGAAGGCCAGATATCTTGTTTTTGAGATTTCTTTGGATGAGTGAAGGATTAAGGACAAATAGATGAGGGAAGGAAAACAAAGAAGCTTGCTTTCCATCCTTCTTATCCAAATAGATTGGTTTTTATTCTGATTTTAAGGGAAACACTTGCAAAGTAAGTATGGATACAAAAACAGCCTAACTTACATTTTAGAAATAGATTATATATTACTGTATTGGGAAGATGTTGGCAGCAGAGTGAAACTTAAGAGTACAAGCAGGTGAGACCTTGTCTGAGGAACAAATTATATTTGAGTATTGCACTGTTTGATCTCTTCATTGTACTCTTCCTTTCTGATCTTAAAAACACTTGACTTTGGGCTGGTTGGACTTCAGTGGCAGAGCACTTCCTAAGCTTGCACAAAACCCTGGGTTCAACCCTCAGTGCTGGGGGAAAATGTTTGACTTTCTTTCGTCACAAACCAGGACATTAATATATTTTTAATGTAAATATTTTTTCAAAACAGACAAGTACACCAATTGATTCTTTAGTTTTTATGGAGACATTAAAGTAAGTCATATATTTTTTTTTCACATTATGCTGAAATAGTTTTCATCAATGAAAATTTTTTCATATAAATCTTATAGATAAGATTTGTTTCTTTTGGGATCTTGATATCTGGATATCAATTTTTAAGTCAACCTTGATTTTGTTATTATTTTGGAACAGAAGGCTAGTTAAAGTATTTCAGGTCTAAGCTGAGATCATTTTTCTATGATTTAGAAAATTATGATTTACACTATTTACTTTGTATTCTATAGTAGAGTACTACTTTTTAAAAAATTTTGTTTTAAAATTTTTTTCAAGACAGGGTCTTGCTGTGTAGTTCAAGCTGGTCCTGAACTCACTATGTAGTTCAGGCTGGCCATGAACTTCCAGCAGTCCTCCTGCCTCAGCCTCTTGAGTGTTGCGATTACAGCTGTGTCACACCATGCTCTGTAATAGTTTTTAATGAACATGAAATTCATATCCATTTTGCAATTTTAATCATTTCAAGGGTACAATTCAATGACATTTAGTGCATTCTCAAGTTGTGAAACTTTATAATTGATATAAATTTTAACAATAAGCTTTGTCTTTATTCAATAATTTTTTTTACCCACTAGCATTTCAAAGTAAGATTTATAAATCAAAATTTTGTCATATATTGATTTAGTCTATTTTTTATTGTTTTCTAGAGTATAATATTTTAAAATGAATAAAAGATCATTTGTACTTATTTCTTAGCTAATCCATTAATAACTGTGAGCAGTTCCTTTTTAATTTTCTATTTTGAGTATTCAGAGTAGTAGTGTCACATTACTTCACTATTCTGGCTACTGACTGTAGAGAATGTTTTTTTTTTGGAGAATGTTAAACTGGTCAAACTGTTAATAAAACATGTGGTAAATACTGGGATAGAAACCATAAACTCAAATTATCTCTGAAGTCAGTTTCATGCAGGTTAAAACTCTAAGGTGAAGTAGTAACTCTGACACATTTTCTTTGCTTTTAGTTCTGCCTTGGTGTGAGTCTTAGGCGTTTTGGCCATTATTTCCTGTGGAAACTTGGGCATTTGATAGAGTCTATCTGCAAGCTGCTGCAGTTCTGGAGAAATTATAATAGTTGGGACAGAGATAACAGAAAGATTATCAAGTACTGTGGCTTAATGATTAGCTTTTATTATTTTGTAGATTATTTGAAGATATAACTATTATTTTTAGCTCATGTAAAATGATAGTGTATATACTTGTAAAAATAATTTAGAGCAGTATATATTTTTATTGCAGCGAAATCACTCATGAATCTTGAAGTATAGAGACTTATTTATAACCCATACATTGGATTTCAAGTATTAATCTCAAGCAGAATGGGCAACACAATCTACTCTTGATATTTCATGTTATGTCATATACAGCATTCACCTATTATTTGATAAGAATGTCTTTAAATAAGTTGAATACAAGAGTGAATGAAACAATATTTTTTTTCTTTTTGAGATAGGGTTTTGCTATGTAATTCAGGCTGGCCTTGAACTCACAAAGTAGCCCAGGCTGGTCTCAAATTCATGGCATCCCTCCTGGCTCAGCCTCCTGAGGGCTGGGATTTTAGGTGTAAGCCACACCACCTGGCATGAGAAAACATTTACATCACAAAGGTTTTACTCTAGACAAAGGGGGGTCGACAATAAATGCATGTTTTAAGATACTTTCAGATAATAATCAATTACCTGAGAGGCCAGGTGTGGTGGTACACGCCTGCTATCCCAGTACTTGGGAGGCTGAGGCAGGAGGATCCTTAGGAGTGAGCTCAAGGTCATCCTGAACTGCATGGTGAGACCCTGTCTCCAAAAAGACAAAACAAAGCAAAATAATAATAATAAAAAATTACCTGAGGAAAAGAAAACATAGTCATTAGATCTTAGTGAGGTGGGGTGAGGAGGGTCACGTTCCGGTGCTTCTGGGAGGCACCTCCTAGTACTGAGCTGTGTACTAGGCATCTCCTAGTACACAACTGAGCGTCAGTGGGGAAGACCAGGTGGAGAGGGCTGCTCCGCAGCAGGACGGGCATTGAGAAGGTGTCCGGCGGACTTGAGGAAGGTGAAGCAGCGCAGGCAGGGTGCTGGTCATAGTGAGTAGTGGAGGCCACTGCAAGTGGAGGGAGAGCTTGGAAGAGGTCGTAATAGGCCATTTAGGAGAAAAAAATGATGTTTGTCAATGACTCTAAGAACAAAAAGAAGCCACTGGCAAGAAATGGGATCTTGTACTGCTGTACGGAGCATAGATTTGGGGGCTCCAGAAAGAAAGTAAGGAGACTCTGAAAAAGATGTTAGTGGATGGACAGCAGTGATAGTGGTGCTGTGGAGAGGCGGACAGGTCAAGGGTACCTTCTGCCCCAGCACTGACCAGACTTGGGTTTGATTAGAAAGTGTGTGTGGGTGATTAGCAGGCGGGCGGCATGGGGGTGACTCGAGGAGAACTTCACCACTTTTGCTTCAGCTGCTGGTTCAGAGGCGATGGTTTTCATCAGTGAGGGGAGATAAGGAGCAAACAAACCTGGAAGCTCACGGGGAGCCAGGTCCAGAGACTCAAAATAGAGAGCAGACGGCATGCGTGTCGTCTCAGGGATGGACGGGGTCTCCACAGAAAGTCCAGGTAGTAGAGCAGTGAAGTAGCCCAGCACGCAGCCGGCAGAGAGGGGCAGAAGGGCCAGTTTGATAGGAGGAAAACAAGGGCAATATTGTGATGCAGAACCAAAGGGACCAAAGTGTTTAACGAATTACTGTCCGGTCAAGGCAGAGGAGGACAGAGAAGGCACCACTGGCTTCACGTCAGGCATCACGTGACCTTGGCAATAATAAACTTACTGGGTTGGAAGAAGAGCAACTTGAGTGAAGGGGGCTGAAGACCGAAGACGATAAAAAGAGGCAAGTAAATACAAGTGAGGAAATACTGTATGTCTAAAGTTTTCTGTGAGGGGGTTAGGAAGTGAGAAAATACAGTGGTTCATGTACTTAATTATTTCCACAGTTCTAGTTGCAAACCGAATCGATTGTGGAATCAGATTCAAATTCAGCAGTTAGGTTCTATGTTGAGTGTTCAGTGTGGTTCAGTTGTTAGGTTAACTCAAGAGTCACACGAGGTCAAGACTTGTTTTTTTTAATGGATAGCATGCATGTTTGTGCTCATTGGAATAATCCAGTAGAAAGCCTAATGATCCAAAGAGCAGGATTGCAGGCTTGAATTTCTTCAACATGGGAAGCACAGACAAAATCCAGAAAATAGGGGGAGAAGGGAGGGCATTTTTAGGCACAAGAAAAGTTTGATTTTTTTTTTTCAGTGTAACAGGAGGAAGGCAGAGAATGTGAGTGAGATGCAGATAAGTTGATCAAGTTGGTGGTGGGAAGTTGAGGGCATTCCCATCTGATTACCAGTCTTTTCTCAGCAAAGAATGGGGTGAGTTCCTGAGCATGGCAGAGAGAGGGCCGGAGGCTTGAAAAGAATCTGAAGTGTGTCTCAGAGAACGGGGATGCAGTAGAATTCCGGGCACGGAGGAGTGATCTCTACAATTAATGGTCGTCGATATACAGAAAGATCAATCCGCATGGCTGATTCTCTCCAAGAATGCTCGACTTTTGGGTGGGAGGAGCAGAAGACGTGGGTAGATGAGGTAACCCAGGTTGTGTTTAACTAAGCTGGGTAACAGAGGCAAAGAGGGAGAGGGACAGGAATTCCTGGGGCTCTGATGCCCGTGCCTAAGCCCAGACGGGGAGAGGTGAAATGTGTGCAGGGATGAGATGGGCGGGACCTGCTGCTCCCCACTCAGCTGAGTGGCTGCAGGCAGAGGAGGGCGAGAAGGGGCGAGGAGGGAAGGGTGCTTTCACAGGGCGAGAGCCTGGCACCCAGGTGTTTTCACCATAGTGTGTTTACTAGTGTGGCCAAAGCACCGGGCACTGGGCATAGGTGAATGAGGCCTAAGAGAGGAACGGACTGGAGAAAGATCTAGCAACTGAGAGGACGAGGAGCTAAGAAAACCTGTGCTTTTCATAAGATTGTCGCTGCCCAAAGCAAATCCTTGAGCAGTCCTGTCTGAAAACTGACACAGTCACTCTGCCAGAGAAGTGTGGCTTCTCCACCGTTCTCAGCCCTGCACCAGCGCTCAGGGCTGCAGCGGCGCCTGGGGCCGGTGCACTGTGAAGCATTGTAGTTCTCAGAGAGTGTTCCGACAGCATCAGAAGTTCACTGGTACCTTTCCACATC